CCGGGGGGTCCGACTCTGCCCCAGTCGCTGTGGGTGCTGGAGGTCCCGGGCGGAACCGGCGCCGCGCGGTGCTCCCGGAGGAAGAGCAGACAAAGGCCGAGCTGTAAGTGCTGGGGTCCCAGCGGCGCTGCGGGGCCGTGCCGCGCAGTGACTCAGCAGCGGCGCTCGGCTGCCCTTCGCTCGGCTGCCCTTCCACTTGTTGAAATTTCGCTTCTGAAAGCCGCAGGGCCGATAGTCTTTAACGAGGGGACGATTGGACCGGGCTGATGTGGATGTTAAATATAACTTGCGGTGTAACGCACGAAGAACCGAGAAAGCTGCATGTTTACCCGTTACTTCTCTTACAGAAGTAATTTTATAAGTGATTTTTCTGATAGCTTGTATTTAAAATTTCTTCTGATACCTACTAGTAAAAATGTACTGTTAATCATGACAGTATAATTGTGTTTTTTTTCCAAGTTTTCTGGCAGTTGAGTTGTTTGTGATTCATTTCGTACCAATGAGGAACAGACAGCATTATATTGTGTTGATAACTGAGTTTTGTTTACAGCTGAAACAATCAGCTGAAGTCACACCAAATACAGAAAGTCCTGACCAAAGTCTGTGTGAACTGCGGGTGTGGTGTATTTCCCAGAATTATTTTTTTTTAAATAAATAATCTCCTCTACATAAATCTTGGCCTGGCTTGCTGATTGTTCAAAATATTTTTCTTTGGGTGTTGACCTGACACGTTGTAGAGCATCATCTGCTGTGATGACAGAGTGACAGGGTTAAAGCTTCTGGAGAAAATCATGTTTGTTCTTGACTGGAAGAGGAAATGGTATGAGAGAAAGTAAAGGCAGGAAGAAAGGTAGTAGCCCTGAGTAATAATTTCTAAATGCAGGTCTTATTCGTCGTGCCTGGGCAAGGAGGAGGCTGACAGTGCTGTTAGTCACACAGGTTTCATGTCTATCTGGGATTCTTCCTGGGGCTGTCATAAAGGAAAATTAAAAACAAACAAACAAACAAAAAACCAACCCCAAAGCCAGGCACAACACCACACCCTGCACTGTGACTTTTACTGCCAGTAGTAAGACACTGCAGAACTGAGCTAAAATACTGATGTGACTTTTTTCATCTGCATTTGACATTGTCCCACTTTACCTTTCCAACTGTTAATTTACAGGTTCACATGAAAGCTCAAAGAGCAAGTAAGGAACAGCAGCTTGATGTGATGAACAAACAGTACAAGCAGCTCGAGAGTCGCCTGGATGAAATGCTCTCTAGGATTGCAAAGGAAACTGAGGAAATCAAGGACTTGGAGCAACAACTCACTGATGGTAATTGTTTCTTGGAATGTTATCTAGGATAACATGACAACTGAATTCGAGATTCAGTTTTGTTTGTCTTTGCTTAAATGAAATGCATAATGTATAGGAAAAGGTAAAAAACTATTCTTAGTTACCTAAATAGAGACTTTGGATAACATTTGTAAATTTAAATGATTATTTTTTCTTTTTAGTATGTTCACCTTGCTTGGGGAAGGTAGTTTGCAGGGAAGGAGGATTTTTGGATTTGGGGTTTGGTTTGGTTGGGGTTTTTTTCTTAAGGTGGGGAGTAAGTTTTGGAACTTGACCTAATAAAGTCAATGAACTAAATTTGCCTATGCAGTTACTATGCACCTAGTCTGCATAAAAGGAAATATCCCACAAAAGAATGAATATAAAAACAGAAACAAAATTGATGTAGGTGTAAAGGGAGTACATGTTATCCTAGATGGGGGACCATAATGAGCAAAGGACTGCAGTTTCTTTGTAACTTCAGTGCTGAGGTTAACAGGGCACTTTGGGAACTTGTAACCTTACACACAGCATGGGCATTTTCTGGTTGAGTTCTTGTTACTTGTTACTACATATTCTGCTTGGTAAACATCTTAAAGAAGGTTAAGAAAGGCAGTTTTGTTTTGTGAATGTGTGGTTTCTTAACCATCTCAAATTTGTTTTGCATTTCTGCAGGTCAAATAGCAACAAATGAAGCACTGAAGAGGGATTTAGAAAGTATTATCCTTGGATTACAGGAATACCTGGAAGGTGTTAAGTGTCAGGCAAAACGAGCCAATGAGGAATGTAAAGAGTTGCAGAAGGATAAAGAATCTTTGCTACAAAGATTGGCAGATCTAGAGGAAGAAAGAAACAACCTGGAAATTGTTGCCATGGATGCTGAAAATATGAGAAAAGTAAGGCTTAGTACTATGTTTCTTTTCAAATTCAGATACTTAAGAATAAAGTTTTAAAAATAAGCAAATGACCAAATTTGGAATAGCAAAGCCAGTTACTTGGAGAGCTATCTTAGCATCCTCCTAAGTTTTAAATAAACCTTAATACCAGGGACAAATGTGTATCACTTGAGGCTACACCTTTCTGACTCAAGTGTAGGTTTCTGTGCAGTCTGTCACAGTGGTGGCATTGACCTGACCCTTCTGTGTAGCAGTCCCACCTAGCTTTAAGTTTTAAAGTTTAATCATCAGGGTTAGTGTCTCTGTTTTGATGTATCTGCTGCCACAGTGATGATAAGTCCCAGAGTAACAGAGGAAGAGGGGCAGTGTACTCTAGGAAATCTTGCTCTCCTGTGTACTTCTAAAATTCCAGGAAATTACCATGTTAGAAGGTGCACTCCAAGAGCAGCGAGAGATAAATGAATCACTTAGAGATGCTCAAGGGAACATCAGTGCCTATGAGGCTGAGCTGGAAGCCCAGCTGAGAGACAGAGACACTGAAGCCAATCAGCACAAAGAAGAACTGGAAAGACTGAAACAACTTAGCCAGGTAAGAACAGGGCTCTTGTGCTGCCAGAGGGATAATTTGCCCCAGGATGAGGGGCAAGCAGACATTCCTCCATACCAGATGTCTGACACTGACCCCTTGGTCGGGGTTCTTCTCTTGGCTTTTTTCTTTTTTAGGAGGTATTGTCATATTGTTACTGTTCTAAGAAATACAGTTGTTGTGTGTTTGGGTGACAGGTTAGGGCTGGGATACTAATCTAGAGGTTTTCTGTGTTTGTAGATGGAACTGTCAGCCTTGCAAGCTGAACTTGAAAAAGAAAAGCAAGCCTTAGAGAATGCTCTGACCAAAGCACAACTGGCTGAAGAGAAGGAGAAACAAAATTACAAGCTCCTTTCTCAGTTCAAGCAATTGCAGGTATAGTATTTGTTGCCTTTAAAAGTTACCTTCATCCTAGTACCTGTCAGCAAAAAACTATTTGGATGCAGGAGAAAAAAACTTATCCAATACCTAAAGCAGAATTTATTGTCTCAGTTTAAAGCTGTGATCCTGATGAATCTTGATATTAGTTCAGGCCACACTGGAAAAAAAAAAAGAACCAAAACAAACAACCCCCCCCCCCCAAAAAAAAAAAACAAAAAACAACCACAACAAGAAAGCACCCTCCAACCCTCCAAAAAAACCAACAAAAAACTCAGAATTTTTAATACCTTTAATATCTTTTGGCTTTTACTATTTGTGTGTGTTTGCTTATGGTTGCGTGGGTGGGTTTTTTTGTCTGTTTTGTGTTTTTCAGGGAGACAATAATCACCTGAAACAACAGCTTAAGGATCTTCAGAATCAGCTAAACCATGCAGTTGGTAACTTAATTCATCCTGAGGAAATCTTGGCTCGTATAAACAAACTCAGGCAGAAGCTTCACACAGGAGTTGGAGAGATTAAGTGAGTAAAAATACAAACAGTGTTAAGTTTGTGCATGTGAAAGTGATAAGTACACAGAGAGCAGCAGGGTCCATGTGCTGCATCCTCCTGAGTGCAACCTGGGGCTGGTCAAACATGAACTTCAGCACCCTGTGGTTAAGAGAACCTCACCTGAGCTCACTAGTTGTATTGCTGAAGGAAATAGGAAGTCCTTTTGGGTTTCACTGCAAGGGATGGCAGTCTTTCCCCTTGTTATCCCTAGCAACAAAGAATGGTAATAAACAAAGAAGAATGGACTAAACAGGTGTCTGTGTGGTGTTCCATGTTCAGTGCTGCACCTGAATTCATTTACAGCAGAAGTCTTAAACTCACCCTGTTGTATCACACATCATTATTTCTGTGTGTGGTATCATGCTTTAAAATCGCTGGTTTTCTGTCTTGGAACCTGGATTGTTTCTCTTCCAGATGCCAGAATTCAGCTGATGTTTTAGGGAGAAGCCTTGCAAATCTGCAGAAAGAATTTAATGACATCCTTGCTGATGCTCAGAGGGAAAAAGAGAAAGCATGGGCTAGACAGAGACAACTGGAGGAAGACATGGTATCCCAGCAGGAAAAACTGGAAGAAGTGCAGGAGAAATACAGACAGGCATGTATCAAAACAGCAGAAAAACAAAAACAAGAGTAAGACCATTTCAGCTTGGCTGAAAAAATGTAACTTGCAGCTGAAGGCTCAAGTTTCCTTAGAGCTGTAGCTTTGCTATGCTCCCTCTTTCAGAAGTGTCATTTTACTGAAGGTTGACAAATTGGATCCTTTTGCTTGTCAGAAACTTTGACAACTCGCATCAGAGCCAGGTGCTGTGACTCGTGATGAGAGCTTGAATACTAACCATTATTAGAGTTTTGATTTTCCTGTTGTGCACAAATGATGTCCTGTAGCAATTTTCATTATAAAGTAACTGTATAAGCAGGCAAAAGCTTCACAAGAGGGAAAACAAATAATTCACCTCTTCCATGTGAAATTCTGGTTACAGCAGTGAAACATCAGCTGTTCTTGCTTTCCTTTGATAAGTGTTAAACTGGGTATTTGACAGGACACAGGCTCATTTACACCCTTTTGGCTTGAAAAATGTGTTGCTTGGAGAAGAAGGGTTTAATATGCACTAAAACTCCCACAAGCATACTCTAATTTTTGCTGTATGACAAAAAGGAAAGATGGAGAGACCCACTTTTGGTATCCATGTAACAGTAGAGTCTGAGGGTTTTTTATTAGCAGTCCTTACGATTTTTGCCTTATTATTTGGTGAATTAGGATTTAGACTCAATGATATGTCTCAGAGGCAAAAAGAGTTTAATTATAGGTAGCAAAATATAGCCAGTAACCTCCTCAAAAGGGCTATACATTCTACTACCAAAATTACTTGGGCACTTTTGAAATGTAATACAGTAGCAAAGCATGTTCCATTCTCTTCAGGTATAAAGTATGCTGGTAACTGCACTTCCCAAAAGTTGTTTCTTTAAATGATTAAAATAGGCTGGCTTTTGGTTGGGGGGAAAAAAAAAATCTGGCTACTTACTCTGATTTATTTCACTTATAGGTTAAAGATGAAAACAGACAGAATAAGAACAAGGTCCATCAGTTAGAAAATGAAATTCAGCGTTTGCATGAGAAAATAAAGAGCATGGAAGAAATTCAGGGCCTTGCTGATCAACAGCTGCAAGAGGCAGATGAAGAGAAAGAGACTATTCTTGCTCAGCTGGAAGATTTAGAGAAAAGGGTAGGAATGAATAAGGACAAATCTGTGCACTGTGTGTACTCATGAAAAGAAGATTCAAAAACTTCTGAATTGTTTTGCTTTGAAAGATCAAATACAAGGAAGGAAGACAGAGATTAAATGTAATATCTTTCTTTTCCTTCAATTTTACTGGTTGTCCTTGCTTTAGCTCTTTTTTTTCCCCCCTGTTAACTTCTATGCATACAGTACAAAATGGGATATGTGTGGGGGAAGAAGTCATACCAACAGAAAGCCTTTCTTCCATGCTGCTTTTTACTTAAAACTTATAAAACCTGTTGTTTCCCTGGTTTCAGAAAAAAGTAGAAGATGCTAGGGCACAAATGCAGTTTGTCAGTCTAGATAAAGAACTGAAGGAATTAAAGAGAGCTGTCATCACTTCAGATAAACTGGCAGCCACAGAGCTCTCCATTGCTAAAAATCAGCTACAGGCTCTGCATGGGACTGTTCTCAGAATTAATCAGGAGCGAGCTGAGGTAAGTCAACACTGATAACTGATTGCTTGTATGTAAGTAGTGCTTTGTAGTGCCACCTTAGTGGGAGTGGTCCTGGTGTTTTCTTTTAAATTCAGCTTCAAAGCTTTACTCTGAATTGTCCCACTGCACAGGAGCTCTTGCTTCAGAGTCTTATCTTGAACTATAGTAGATGAATGCCTGAGAAAATGTGGGTATGGACAGGCATTCCTTCTACAAGGTGAGGGAGAGGCAGGTTTAATCCATTAACTGAAAGTCAAGCAATAGATAATAATACCTTGTCAGATAGAAAAGCAAAAGAAGGGACTATGAAAGTTTGTTCTTACACTTCAGGTTTGTAAAACTGGCAACCATTTTTTGCTACATCCAACATCTGGTCTCTAGAAATTATTTTACATAAACTTGGCCACTTTCTGGAATTCCAGAACAGACAAGTGCTGATGCTTCTTATTAGTCAGCCTTTCACAAAGCTGCACGAGACATCTGCTAACTTGTCAAGTATTCTTGCAGACTAAAGCTCAAACTAAAATTGCATTTTCAGGAGATTGAGGAAGCTGAAGAGTTCTCTGCGAAGGCAGCTCGTGCAGCCCGGGATCTTGCCAGAGCAGAAGCAGAAATAGAATTGCTACAGCAGCTCCTCAAAGAGAAGGAAGAACAAGTAGGTTGCAGTGATGTTTGCTCTCTATTATATGAGGAGGAGAAAATACTTAAATATATTTTTTTTCAGTGAGTTTCTGAAAATACCAAATTGTATTTTGGGCAGGTATCTGCCCCGTCCCTTTTGCAGAAGTTTTCCCAAGTCAGTTTTCTTCTCTCCCCTGACATCTGACAAAGAACAAAATGAAAACCTGACTGACTAGAGTAGCTGAGTTTTAAGTGAAGCTATCCTATGTTCACTTCAGTGCCTTGACATGGCTGTAAACCTCAGTTGTATGAGGGGATGGGAAGGAGTTTTGTTGCATCAAAGTGGGAGATGCATTCTGCTGAATGAGCATTTTTGTAGGGATGGGTGGGCATGCTTGAAAAAAGTTCCAACACAATCTAAACTGAAGTGCTTTGCTTTGATTTAAACTTATTTTTTAAATAGTTCCAGCATGAAATGGAAAAAGCCAATGAGAAGACTGTTGCATCAAGCTCTCAAAAGTTTGAAATTGATAAACTAAATGAAGCTGTGGAGCAACAAAAAGCAGAAATTGAGCGTTTAAGATGGTTGTTGGATCATGTTGGGACAGGTGATCTCTCTTTTCTCTTTCTTGTGGATAAGCACAGATGCAGACTTCTCTTCCTTCTCCATGTTTCTCACTCCTTGTTCTAAGAAGTCATTCGGAGCTCTGGCAGTTTATTCTAGGAGAACAAACTTTTGAGGATGCCTCCCTCTATAGTTCCTATACAGGATACATCCAGTCCTTGAATCACTGTGCTTGGGTGGATTCTCTGTGCCTGTGTATGAAGCAAAGAGCCAGACAGTGCAGTTCAGTGAAGTGTATGGATGGGACTTTGCTGCTTCAGATTCAAAGACTGGGGGAAATGGATGGTTAAGGACCAGCAGTGGCACGAGCACTCCTCAGGGTCTGGCTTTGCCTGTTGACCTGCCATTGACCTTTGGAACCTGAGTAACGTTTTGCCTTGGCTGAAAGTCAGAATGCCAGTGTGTTAGTTGTCAGAAGTGTTAATACAAACTAATGAAAACTATTTAGAAAGCACTAATTGCACTACTTGTTCAGTACATAGTGCTCTAGAGTGTTGCCAGGGACCTGTCTTTAAGGGAAAATGAGCATTGGTTACCTGTCCATGAACCTGTATTTCTGCAGTCTTACACTGAGAGATTTGCAAGGGCCAGTGTGTATCTGCATCACTAGATAACGTTTAGTTTGTGTCCCCTGGCAATACATTTTTCTTAATGTTCTTTCAGATTAACAGGGTAACAGTGAGGGGAAAAGCTGAAGGCAGTATTTATGACTTAATTATTTGTCTTATATGCCTATAAACTGTTATTAACTTACAGGCAACAAAGATGAAATTGACAACTTACAAGATGAAATTGCAGCACTGAAAAACGTGCTTTCATCCCAGAGTGATTACATCACCAGTATAGCAGATCCATTGAAAAGAAGGGGATACTGGTATTACATGCCCTCATCACAGGTCAGAAATAAAAATCCTATCATGTGGAAAACCATTTGATATAGGAAATTACATTGTAAACTTGCTAAGTCAAAATTTGAGAAAAAATATTGGCTGGCATATCAGAGAAACACTGAAACAAACATTCCCTCAAGAAAGCCTATTGCTGCATGGCAGTGTAGTGTATGTAAAATTTGGAGGAAACTATTCAAAATGCAATACTGTAAATGCATTTAGGTAAAGGTTAAAAGGGGACACTACAGAGAAACATTTCTTGCAAAACAGCATTTGTCAGAATTTAAGAAAAATATTGTTGAAACATGTAGTGCTCTCTTTTAAAGCAGCATCACGTCTGGAAGTGAAAGAAGCAGAGTATGTACAGCCTGTTCTTCAAAAATCAAGGATTTAGACTGTCTACAACAAATGAAGTATTTTACATAATTTGTTATTTCTAGATTAACACATACTGTTTTTTTTTTATTATTTCTTTAGGCTTCAACTCCTGCTTCCCACAGCACGAAAGACTCTGGTGTTTGTTTACGGTGTTCTGGCACCTGCCCACCTGGAAGAGCGTGTGGCTGGGAGAGGCAGGGCAGGAGGGAAGACCTGCCATGTCCAGCAGGGTGCTGGGTTTATTCACCAGTCAGAAGCAGGCTGTACAAAACAAGTTCTGGTAAAGGTAAGTCAGTCTCATGGTCTCAGAATGTTTAGGAGCATCCTAAAGATGGACTTAGTGTGGAGTTCATAGTGAATTTTCTGGATGTGCCTGAGTGGATTATAAATGTTTATTACTCTTGAACTCATTCAATCTGAGCAGCATTTATTAAATTTTAGTACATTAGAATTTAAAATGTACATTTGAAGAATATCTCATACTGAAAAAGTGATTAAAAATGACCCTTTGTTTTTTTAAAGACAGAAGAACAAAAGAAGATAGTGAAGGAAATGAAGAAAGTCATGTTCCCAAGGAGCCTCCCTTTGTACCACCACCTGGTGCAGTTCTCTACACAGTGCTGCCAGACGGTGCCCCTGTCCCTCAGGGAACTGTGGTGTATGGCCCTCCTCCTGCAGCAGCAAGTGGGGCTTCAGTTGCTCCAGGGTCTGTTATCTATGGCCCACCTCCTGTGGGAGCCCAGGTTGTTTATGGTCCTCTTCCTCCAAACTTCACCGTCCCGCTCGTTCCTGTCGGAGTGCTCCACTGCAACGTGCCTGAGCATCACGACCTGGTAAGAGCAGAGCTGTAAGCTGCAGGTTTCACTGCAGCAGCTGACCTAGGAATGGATTAGGAACATCTTTTCATATGTTTTTGCTTTCTCAAAAACCAAGCAAACAAAAAAAGCAAAATCCCTCATTTACACAAACAGTATTTTCAAAAAAACCTAAAAGGTCCCTGCTAGGAAGGCTGTGGATCTGAGAGAGCTTGCTGAGGAGGATGCTCTGCCTAGGTGCTGGTAATCTGGGCTTTGCTGTCTGTAGCTGCTCCTGTGCCTCAGGAGGACTGAATCAGAAAACAGGTCTTAATTTTGTTATTCTGTTTCCTGTCTGTAGGAGAGTGAAGTCACAAGACTAGAAGACACTGTATATTACTTAAAGTCTCAGAAGTACAAGAATAAATGGTCAGAGGCAGATGAACGTAAATGCAGAAAAGAGGTGGAAAGATTGCATCAAAATGTTGCAGAGCTACTGCAGGAAAGAGAAGAACTGGAACGTGAAGTAGGAGAGCTGCGGCAAGCAGCTCAAAGATACAACAAACACAAGTAAGAATATTGCACTAGAATGCATTTAAAGGGTGGATGTGGGGATACCTAAACCTTTTTTTTTCTTATATTAATGTGAATGGACTAGAACTTCAGGAGGCTCCAGACCTCTGGCATTTTCTGTTTTAATTCAGTGTCTTTCTTCCTGATGTTTAGGGACTTTATTGGAGGGCACACTGACAACCTTACTGCAGAATTCCAGCTAGAAAAGTCTTTTCAACATCATGAAGATATTGCAGATGAAATTGAATGCATAGAAAAGACTCTTCTGAAGCGACGAGCAGAGCTCAGAGAGGCAGACAGGCTGCTTTCAGAAGCTGAAGTGGAACTTGAGAGCACACGGGGGAAAGTAAGTAAAGCCATAACTCTTAAGTGCAGAAGGATTTGGGTGTTGTGTTAAGATTGTTTTAAGTAGAGGATTTTTGTTTGTCTAAGCAGTTTATTTTCACTTGGATAACTTGAAGCCTCTAAAAATGATTCTATGTGAAAATAAGTTGTGCATAACCTGTGCTAAAAGAAAATGTTTCAGTCCTTGCCAAAGAGGAGGAAACTTTTCTGCTGTGGACAAAAGAGGATAAAAGGTATAGAGAGGGAAAAGCTCGGATGGAATACTCTAGCCAGGAGGAGGTCATCTATAGATACTTAACCTGCAAGTTGTGGATGTTGGAAGCATGAGATGGGAATGTATTGTCTCAATGATCTTCAATTTTTGCTCTAGACTAAAGAGACTATTCAGAAGTACAATCATGCCAAACAGCAGTTGTCCCATACTGAAACTGAGGCAGAGGAGCTAGAGCGAAGGGCTCAGGAAACAGCTGTCCAACTTGTGAAGGCAGATCAGCAATTAAGGTACACTCTTCTTGGGAGTTTGTATCAAATGGGGATGAGGAGAACAACAAGATTCTTCCAAATGTCAAGGTAGTGCTTTGGGAGAGGCAGAGCTGTTAAAACATTAATATGAAAAGGCATAAATGCTTCTTTAGGTTATTACAGGCAGATACAAGGGATTTAGAACAGCGTAAGAGAGAACAAGAAGGTGTTTTGAAGGAAATCAACAAAATGGTGGCTGCAAGAGACTCTGAGTTCCAGTTGTTAAACCAGAAGGTAGAAATGCTAACTGAAAGGTAAGTAATTTAAATTTGCCATAAACTTGTGTTAGATAAAATAAAGATGCCCTCCCCAGTAAATTACTGGCTAAGGTATTCTTGTCTCTTCTGAATCCTGTTTTTATCCTGTCAGTCTTCAGAAGCTTCAAGGAGATATTCAAGTTGCAGAAGGTAATGAAGAACATCACCTCCAAATCCTTAGAGAAGCAGAAAGCCTTCTTCAAGGCAAGAAAACTGAACTGGAAGGATTAAAAGATCAGGTAAGGCTTACCTTGTTAACTCTGGACTACCAGTTTTGTTTGGTTTGATGGACATGAAGGCTGAGAAGAGTCTTAAGTTCTGAACGGCCTTTGACTGAAGAATTTAATTCTTAAGTTTATTTTATTGCTGGGAATTGCAATTTTCTCATAATAAATATGTTCTAAATCTCAGTGGCATTTCTGCATAGTGTTACTGCAGAGTTCTCTGACCACCCTTATTGCATTTCAGAATAAGAAACTTGACTCTGAGGTACAGGACTGCACTGTCCAGATCAGAACTTCATCTTTAGCACTGGCTTTATTGTACAGGTTTAGCAAATGTAACTCTTGCTCTGATGGGAGCCTTAGGTGTTACACAGTTCAGATAGGTCTCTGGCAGGGAATGGTGTGCTCTGCTTGTTCTCTGTGTGCTGCTACAAAAATAAAAGCCTTCAGGTTCTTCTTCTGTTAAACTTCTACACTGCAGATTACTGCTCAGCAACAAGAGCTCTTGTTTCTGGATCAACAGTTAAATCAAAGAAAAGAAGAGCTCCATGTCCTTCAAGACTGTATTTCTCAGAAGAAAGGTGACCTCCAAGAAGCTCTTCGAGATGGAGAGTCTGAAGCAAATGAAAAACTACGCAGAATAAGAGTAACTTTTCCAAATGAGTTTTCATTTCTTTATATCTCTGAAGAACAGGAAAACAACTTAACTATCAAAAATGTCCCATAAAGTTTCTACAAATCAGTTTTGCTTTCCATAGCCTCCCAAAACCCATTGAAAAATGAAACGTGCAACTTTACAGTTTTGTGTGACTAAGAGCATGGTCCAGATACACAAAAAAAGTAGAACTCCCTAGTTCTAGTAATACTTACAGAACTGGTCCCCTCAGAACTAAATTACATAAATAGAAGGCTCTGCATGACTTAGAGATGCTGAGACAAGCAGCTTCTAAAGCAGGTCTGTCTGATCAGTGTGTGTAAAACACAACAAAGCTGGCATAAGTCAGCTGTCTGTCTCCATTCCTGTTTACTTAGAAAGGATTCTGTACTTCCCTTCTTGCTTTGTTTTTATTTCAGAATCAAGGGTAGTTATATTTTGTGGGGGCATCTTGTCTGATTTCTTGCTTTAAGGCTCACTAGAATTACAGTGTTACGGTCAGACTTGTCAACCAAGATTACTATAAATTGTCAACAAGCAAGACTTTAACCCAAATATTACATGTTTTTTGTTTGTTTACATCATTAACTGTAACTGCAAACTCTGGAATTGACCAGAATATTATTGACAGACCTTTTAAATTTTATAAATATTTAGAACTTCTGTTTAAAGGAAACCTTTATTTAAAATGGCAATAATGGGATTCCTTGTAACTGATATATTTCCACAGGAAATAAAGCTACTTCTGGAAGAGTTTCATGTTGAGAGGAAAGAACTGGATGTCCAGATTAATGAGAAAAGAGCACAGCTTTTGTTCATAAAGAAAGATGTTGGAAAAGAGGAAGAAAATCTTGAAGGAATACTTGGGCAAATTACCAGACATAAGATAGGTGTGTCCCTGACTTTGTAGATACAGGACTTTGTGCAGATTGGACAGAAATACACTGAACTCTAAGTCTTCCATGGCTGCAGGCTCTTCTCCTCACTCTGTAAAACACTGTGAATGGCTGTGGAGAAGAGCTCCCTGTAGCTCTCATGGTCTAAAGAGAGCAGACAGATGCTGGGTACTTCAGCTGAGGTGGCACCTCCTGTAACACCTGGTGTGTCTGACACAACAGCTGAAAACATGAGGAGTTTTTACAGGGATGATACCAGTATAGTGTCTCTTTGCTTTTCCTTGATGCCTTTTTTTATGCAAATAGAATACAACTGATGTGCTTGTAACAACCTTTTATTTCTTTTGCCATACTAGAACTGAAACGTGTTCTGGAAACGCTGGAGCTTGAAAGTAACGAACTTCAAAGTTTGAAACTACAACATGATCAAAAGATCAATGAGTTAGAAAAGACTCAGCTTGCAATTCTAGAAGTAAGTATTTTTTTTCTGTAGCTGATAGAGTACCTGGCAGAGTTATCCCACTTCTACTGAGGTGGTTACAGAGGGCACTGTAGCCCATGCATGACCTCTCTGAATGAAAGGTTTTTAAACTGCTGCAGCTAAAGATGTTGTTGATAACTTGTACTTCTCGACTGTGTACATGTGTTCACAATGCCTTTCACAGGAGAAGTTAAAACTGGAGAATATTCAGAGATTGTTTCAGTGTCAGCAAGGGGAAGTAGATTGGCAGGAACAACTCCTTGAGAAAGACCGCCAGGAAAACGAACATCTGCTCTCTCAGATGCGCACGCTGCAGAGCAGCATTGAGTCCTTGACTAAAGAAAAGGAAAAGCTTGAAGAAGACTGTCAGAGTTTGGAAAAGAAGTTGTCACAAACTAGAAGGTGGGGGGAATATTTTTTTCCTCAAAGTTCAGAAGTGATGGGAAGTGCCTTGAATGTCTCTTGTAATTAATGCCATGGATAAAATACAGATATAAATTGAGGTGCCAAATTATACAGAATTATACAGTTTCTTACATCCTGCAGAGGTTTTATTTTAAGTGTGTCTACAGCAGATTTACAGAAAATACTCAATAATGGAGCTGAGAATGCAACAGCATTTGTTACATCATGGCAATGTGATGAGCAGTGGCACTTCAGGACATGGTTTAGGGGTCACAGTAGTGTTGGGCTGATGGCTGGACTTGATGATCTTAGAGGTCTTTTCCAACCTTAATGATTCTATGGAAAGCAAAATGTTCAGTGGTGGATCAGAGCAGGTGGCTTGCTCTCCTTACCACTGGGTAAGGTCCCCTTCAGCTAAGAGAACTTCTGCTGAAATGCACCCGAGTCCTCACCAAGTACTTCTAACAAACTCAAGAATACATGTCCACATTTTACAGAGACTTAACTACTGCTGAAGAGAGCAGCAGAACTGCATTGGCCAGTGTAAAAAAGATGGAAGCGGATGTTAAACGCCAGCAGGAGGAGATAGATCTACTCAGCAATCAGAAGAAATCACTGCATGGAGACATTGTGGTTATGCAGAAGGACCTTCAAGGTAAAGATGGGTTGTTGGTTTTAAACTGTAATACATTTCAAGAGAAACTGTGTTAAAAATCACACTGTAGCTGTGCTGTGTGGTATTAAATATCCAACATGCTCAAAATCTACAGGCAGAGAGTATGTAACATGCTGAAAAGGTGGGACTTTAGAAACTATTGTTTATTCTTATTTATGAGAAGAGATAATTTATGTGTATAGGCATTTCAAACTGCTGACTGACTTTTCTAGAAAAAAAGGAAGAACGAGAAACACTGAAAGGAGAATTAAACGACTGCAGGCAACAGCTTCAGCTGGTGGAGCAGGTTAGTTTTGGTGAAATATGTACTTACTGTCACATAGTGAGTAGGTGGTTGCACAGAAGGGAGGGGTGTTGTTTATCACAGCCATGGACAGTCCATCGCCTGCTTTTTGTCTGAACACACTAGTTCAAAACCAGGCCCTTGCTGAGCTCATCAACTGTGGCTCA